AAGGAAAATCACCTGGGATCTAGAAGAACAAGCCATACAACGAGGGAGAGAACTAAGAAATCACCCTGCAATGGGAGGAGGTAGGATGGGGTGAGGACGTGAGGCTGCCCGGTCCCCAGTGGCATGGTGGGACAGAGGCCATAGCGGCAGCTGGTAGCTGCAGACGCCTCTTAAAAGGGCTGTGTCCGTAAGTGGACTTTCGTGGTGACAGACCTGCTCGCTCTGAGCACCAGTGCCCTGTCGGCTGCACAGGGAGCAATGAGTTGTCAGAGTGAGGGCCGAGATGAGACTTGTTCTGTACAGAAATGCTGGCAGTATCCACTGTTTCTCTGTTGAGCCCTCCCCCTCTCCATGTGTGTGGACTCGGTACAGCCTCAGCAGAGATGTCATCAAACTGGATAACAGATGTTGCTCTGCTCAGAGGATTCACTGAAACCCCGCCTCCCCCAACTTGCGGCCCCACCCAAGCCACATCCAGGTGTATCCTCAGTGAGTCAGGTGCTCCATGCTGAGCAGCACCTAGACTCACACTGGAGGCAGCTGGCCTCGGTTTCTGTTGTGGCCTTTTGAGGGAACTATAAGCACAGCATCTGTGGTTTGCTTGCTGAATCTTAACAGGTGGCCCCAGATGGGTAGAGGCTTGAGCCGAATTTGGCCTGCAGCTGAATCTCTCTCAAGACTGTCCACTAGATGCCTACTTCACAAATCCACACTAATAAGACCAGGAGACTTAGGAGCTTTGCTTAGTACATAGAAACAGACACAGAAAGGCAGCCAAAATGGGAACACAAAGCAGCAGAAACCCTATGAGAGAACAGAACAGAGATGCAAAAATAATGGAGTCAAGTAATCTAACAGATGCAGAGTTCAAAACACTGGTTATAAAGATGCTCAATGAACTTACGGGAAGTGTAGATGAATTCAGTGAGAACTTTAACAAAGAGATAAAAAACAAAAACGGAAATGGAAATCATAAAAGGGAACCAGTCAGAAATGAAGAACACATTATCTGAGAAGAAAAGTATATTAAATAGAATAAAGAAGAGGATCGACTGACCTATATAGAGGATAGGAAAGCCAAGGATACTCAATCAGAATGGCAAGAAAAAAGAAGTCAAGACTATAATAATAATTTAAGGAGCCTATGGAACACTATTAAATGTAAAAACGTCCGTGTCATAGGGGTACCTGTGGGAAAACAAGACATCGAAGAGCTATTTGAAGAAATAATGAGGGAAAACATCCCTAACCTGGTGAAGAAAATAGACATACAACCCCAGGAAGCTCAAAGAGTCCCAAAAACCATGAACTCAAAGAGGCCCACACTAAGACATGTCATCATTAAAATGCCAAAGGTTAAATACAAAGAGAGACTCTTAAAAGCAGCAAGAGAAAAGCAGTTAGTTATCTATAAGGGAGCATCTATAAGACTGGCAGCTGATTTCTCAAAAGAAAGACAAATATTGCATGATTTCACGTACATGGGGAATCTAAAGAACAATGATAACAAAACAATGATAACAATGATAACAAAAGCGGAAATAAACTCATAGATATAGAGACTATTTTGACGGATACTAGATGGGAGGGGGGTTAAGGAGGACAGCAAAAAAAGGCAAAGGGATTAAGATGTACAAATGGATAGGTGCAGAATAGACATGGACATGTAGTATAGCATGGGGAAGATGGTTAATAATATTGTAATATGTAAGGGGGAAGAGGGGTACTAGATTTAGTGGGGTGATCACTTTGCGAGTTATGTGGATCTCTGACCACTCTACTGTACAACTGAAACTGGTATATTATTGTCTGTCAACTACAACTGAAAAAAACTCATTGATTTGTACGTTGTAAATACAAACAACTAATTGTCTATTATAGTTCAGTAAAGATAGGGAAAAAAAGAAAAAAAAACTGAAAAAGAAATCCAATATGCATATCATGCGTTCTACAAATAAAAAATTTAAGATTCAAATGAAGGCATTATGGTATTTTAAAAAAGATAATAAGTTAAAAAAAAAAAAAGAACTCTTTGTGAGTGAAGAATCTACTTTTATTACATCACCCAAAACCAATGATTAATGTAAAAAGAAAATATATCATAAAACCATGAATACCAAACGTCTTAAAATTATTGGTTTCATTTCAAAGTTATTTCCAAAGCAATAGGGAAAAACAAATCACTGAAAATCAGAAGTTTCAAAGCACCTAATTTTGGTCTAAGTTCTAAGACTTACTCTAAGGCTTTCATTACATTGTAAATTATTTCATTAGAATTTAAATTTGATGTTTAAGAGCCCTGTGCTCCTTAGAAGAATCTGTACATTTTTTAACTATTCTAAGTTCCCCACCTTTTTTCATTTTTATAAATAAAAAGACAGATAAAGTTAATGCGGTGCCTTGTAAATCTTACCCCTCTCAGCAACTTTAATTTTAACCCCAACGGTTTTCCTGCAACCTAGTAAATTAAGAGAACATAAGAGGGAAATCAAATAATGTTGCTTTTAATTCCCTGGTTTAACATGTATAAATAACAACTCTAAATGAAAAAAAAATCAAATTGGGTATTTGAATGAAGACATCTATATAGCTTCTTATAACTACTTCAGTTATACAGGCAAATGGTAATTTTTTCAAAAAATTTCCATGAATACAACTGTCAGACTCTCCACAGTGAACTATTTTAAATTTAATCCTGGACACCAATCTAATTTGGGAAATAAGGTATAACTAGGGTAGAGAAGGCCCCATAATGATCTATACTTTGTTTGCAGAACTTAAACATCAAATCCCTCAGAAATTTATCCTACACTCATAATAGCTGAAGCAACTGCACAGATTTCTCTTGTTACAATGATATTAAAAGTAGCTGAAAATATTTTTAGTAAAGAAATGCGATACAGATGGCACATTCATGCAGGTACATTTCTAAGAAAGGCAGCATACAATACAGAGTACAAACAAAAGCTGCACAAATATAGGTCGAGTGAGAATCACCAATATGTTCAAGAAACATGTTTAATTTACCTTTTCTTCTTTTTGTGCAAAACTATCCACACGATGCAGCAAATTAGTGCAATGCCAACAACTACAACAAACCAAAACACAAATGACATGTAACTTGAAAACTAATCACCAAGATTCAAAATCTAGGAGATGAAATTAATGTTGGTTACATTTCAGCAGTCAGAAAATGTTATTAAGTACATGTACATTTATATTCTATCCGAACTCTTCATTGTTTAAATGTAATTCCCTGGAATCACTTAAACAGCCCACTGTGAGTCAGAGAAGAGTCCTAGTTTCATTTAGAGAATTACCCAAAGCATGTTTAGGATGCAAATGACTAATCATCTTGAAAAAAACTATTATTTAGGGTTTGTTACTGAATGGAAATATTGAACATAAAAAAATATATATTCACCAACACAAGGTGGTATAACATATGAAAGGTAAGATGTTTCTAGAATAGTTTACTTAATTTCAAGTTATAAAAACTGTAGAAACTGAAAAATCATTAAATGAATAATGTTCACATCATTATTTTGATCTAAGTGGTATCCAGGTTTGGGAAACTTACCTGTAACAATAACAATCAAAGCAATGATTCCTCCACCTGAGAAAAAATAAAACCAGTTTTAAAATAATTGAGTACATGTGAGTCTCCAGATAGCAGATTTTTAATTGTGATTAGATCACCTACAAACTACAGTAAAGAAAAACTTTATCAATCTAGTTTAGTGAGACTGCTAGTGCTAACTAGAGAGAGACTCAAAATATATTATCATCAACCTTTCCTCTGGCGCTCCTACCCCCATATTAAAACATAGTCTTAATTACCAAGGATATTCTAGGAATGTAAATGAAACACCAGGGCAAATGGATAAAAATTATGCATATAAATATGTATTTCTGACTATCCAGAGATATAAAAAATAATAGAAAATCTTAATTCTTAGAAATGTTTATCAGTAGTACCTCTGCTTCTAAACTGCCATTATTTTTATTAAATTTCTATATGCTGTAGCATACAATGTCATGTTTACCTCTGCTATTTTCTTTTAATAAAAAATTATCAAGTGTTTAACATCTTAAGATGGCACTGGATTTACTGGCATGAAGACAGTTTAACCAGTGTTCAGATAAAGTATTTATAAAAAGATTAGCCTTACTACACTAGACTAAGTGAATAAGAGTGACAGATATTTTCTTCATTTACTCATCAAGAAATATTTGTGTTTTGTTCAAATGTCACAACTATATTTCATCATTTTCTTTAACATTTACTGTGTGAACTGTGAGCCTACAGAGAGTATGCTACACCAGCCTGTTACAGAAAAAAACTACCTCAACTTATATTACTTTATAAGGTATACAAGGTATGAATAGAAAAAAAAGGCTTATAAACTGCCATCACAAAAATACTACTATTACATGGAAAGAAACTTATGTTCTATAAATTTTAACCTACATGTACCTACAGCATTAGAGAAAGTTACCTCACCCCAGCAGAAATTCTAATTTTGGGGTACTTCTTAAAAATTGTATTATCTTCATGTAGTCACACATACTATTGCTTATATTTGTCATTGTATCTGCACCATTAAATATGAATGTCAATTATCACCCATTTGTGACAAGTTGTTTCTTCTCGAAGTACAAATAATTGAAATACGATATTTTCATACAGAACTCTAAGATCTAACAATGCAGTCTAATAATAAACAAAATAATACCTAAATATTTAGGTGGTTCATCACCGGGAGTGGCATGTTCTAGAAAAAAAGAAAAAAAAAATAATAATAAAGCTTAAAGACCTCTAAATTCATAAGACTTTTTGCCTTTGTACGAAAACCCATATAATTTCATTTTCCTTATGTAAATTAGTTTCTATTTAAAAGTAGTATCATAAAATATTATAAATTTATATTCGATGTCATCAGAATTCTCCTTCCTGCCCAGTACCACTTCCTATGACAATATTCTGTGGTGCAGCAAGCAAATTTATCAGTAGACTATTGTCAAAAATAGCCTATGGATTGATATGATTCTACTTAACAAATATAAGAGTTGGGTTAATAAACGATTTAGAAGTTGATCTACAATAGAAGAAAACTTCCACATAATAAAGGCCATTTATGAAAAAACCTATGGCTAACATTATATTCAATGGTGAATGATTCAAAGTTTTGTCCTTAAGATCTGGAACAAGACAGGATGCTTGTGTTTCCTATTGAATATAATATTAGAAGGGTTAGTTGGAGCAATTTGGCAAGAAAAAAAAATATCCAAATAGGAATGGAAGAACTAAAATGATCTCTGTTCTAGATGACAGGATCTTTTACATAGCAAATGCTAAAGATTACACACACACGCACATACAAATCTGGTTGAACTAATAAATGAATTCATCAAAGTTGCGGGCTACAAAATCAACACCCAAAAATCAGTTGCATTTCTAGAAACTAGAAATGAACAACCCAAGAAGGAAATTAAAAAAAAAAAAAATCCATTATAATAGCATCAAAAATAATAAAATATTTAGGAATAAACTTAACCTAAATTTAAGTTAAGGAGGTGAAAGACTCCTATACTGAAAACCACAAAACGCTGCTAAAAGAAAATGAAGATGACATAACTAAATGGAAAGATATTCCACATTCATGGATTAGAAGGCTTAATATTGTTGAAATGTTAATACTACACCAAACAATCTACAGATTAAATGCAACCCCTAACACCATCCTGAATACGTGCTTTTCAGAAATAGAAAAATCCAACCTATAATTCATATGAAATCCAAGGTACTAGGAAAAACCAAGACAATCTTGAAAAAAAAGAGCAAAGTTGAGAGGACTCACACTTCCTGATTTCAGAACAATCTCAAAAGCCACAGTAATCAAAAAAGAGTGGTCCTGGTATAAAGACAGATGCACAGACCAACGGAATAAAAGCACAGAAATAAAATCTCACAAATATGGTCAAATGAACACAAGGATCCTGAGGGGCAGTCTTTTCAAGTGGTTTTTGGAAAAATGGATATCTATATACAAAAGAATTAAGTTGGTCTCTTACCTTATACTATATAAAAGTTAATTCAAAATGGATCAAAGAACTAAGCATAAGATCTAAAACTATAAAACTCTTAGAAGAAAACATAGAGGGCAAGCTTCATGTTGTTGGATTTGACAATTTCTTGGATGTGACATTAAAAGCACAGGTAACAAAAGAAAAAGTAGATAAACTGAACATCAAAATTAAAAACACAGAATGAGAGGAAACATCTGCACATCATATATATGATAAAGGATTAATATCAAAAATATATAATGAACTCCTAAAACTCAACAACAACAAATAATACAAATCAAAAATGGGCAAAGGACTTGAATAGGTATTTCTCTGAAGAAGATATACAAAACACCAATAAGCACATGAAAATATGATCACTATTCATTAGGAAATGCTAACAAAAACCACAAAGAGATACTACTTCATATACATGAGGATGGCTAGTACGCAAAAAAAGACGGTAACAAGAGTTGGTAAAGAGGTAGAGAAATTAAAACTCTGTGCATAGCCAGTGAGAATGTCAAATGGCGCAGGCACTGTGGAAAACAGTATGGTTGTTCCTCAAAAAAGTAAACAGAATTACACTTGAAAATAATTTAAATAAATAAATTTAAAAATATATATATTTCAAATTTTAAAAAAAAGTAAACAGAATTATCACATAACCCAGCAAATCTACTCTTAGAAATATACTTCCCCAAATTGAAAACAGGGACTCAAAACAGTTACTCAAAATGCCAATATTCAGAGAAACATATTCAGAGTAGACAAAACCTGGAAACAACCCAAGTATCTACCAAAAGATGAATGGATAAATGAAATGTGGTTTATACAGACAATGTAATATTATTCAGCTATAAAAACAATAAGGTTCTGATTCTTGCTACAGGTGATGAACCTTGAAAACATTATGCTATGAAGTTAGAAGTGATGACACTTCTATGAGGTACCTAGAATAGTCAAATTCATAGAGACAGAAAGTAGAATAGTGGTTACCTGGTGTATTTGTGTGGGGAGATAGTAGAGAGTTATTGTTTAATAGGTACATTCATTTGAGATGAAAATTTTGAGATGGCTGCTTAATAATGTGGAAGTACTTAAGGCCATTGAAATGTACTTAAAATGGTTAAAATGTTAAAAAAAAAAAAAGTTGATCTAGAAAAATTAACAGAGAACATTTCTGAAAAGAAAGTGTTCTGCCAGATATTAAGAATAGTACTGCAGTGAAAAAAAAAAAAACCCAAAAAACAAAAAAACACAATTTGATGACGGCACAGGAATGGACAGAGTTCAAGGGAATAGAAAGATGATTAGAAAACCTTTGAATTTAAGGCAAAAATTGGCATTTTAAAACAGTTGGAAAGACGATGTATTCAACAAATGAGGTGGGTGGAAAGGAACCCTGTCTCTACATATCATAAGAATTTCAGATGTATCAATGATTTAAAAGCAAAGAATGCAGTCAGAACATATGGTTGAAATGTTTATATAATTTCAGCATGGGGAAGACCTAAAGCTTTATAAGACACAACACTTATAGACATTAGGAAAAAGATAAATGCATTCAACCACCTATTAATGTAAAATTTGACACGTAAATGACCACTGATAGGACAGTTAAATAAAATATGGTCTATATTAGAGCAAAAATAAAAAAAAAAAAGGATAAGAATAAATCTAAATACAACCCCAACTAAGACAGTAAGTGTAGAAAGTGAGTTTTAGAAAAATATGAACATGATGCTATTGTTTATGAAAAAAGAGAACATGCCAAAATATGTATATTTACACATATAAGGATACTGATGTACAGAAACAGATAAAAAAGATACCTAAACTATAAATTGATTGATTCAGGTAATGGACTAGAGACAAAGGAGACTAATCTTTTACTCTGTATACTTTCATAATGCTTGAAATTTTACAAATTTATATTCACATAGTATTTATGTAATTAAAAGTTATAAAAAGCAATCTATTTCCAATAGTATAAAAATCTTAAAAGGAAACTGACTAGTAAAAATAAGGCAAAAAAAAAAAAAAAAAACAAAAAAGAAAAAGATGTTCACTTCAGGTTAAAAGGGTTTTAATTTATAATGAGTTTTGACAAATCGACAAAAATATTTTAGAAACCTAACAGAAAAATGAACAAAGGACATGAACAAATAATGTAGACCAAAAAAACCTTCCACTTCATTGATGATTAAAGAAATGCAAATTAATACATGACATCAGTCATCCATCACTTTATGAAATTCTTAACAATATAAGTAGAATAAAGAGTACCTGAATCTGTGGGTCTTGGAACTGGAGATGTGGCTGGACTAGTAGGCTTGAGACCTGGAAGAGTAACAGAACCTGGATGACCTGCAACTGAAGGTGTGACTGGAATAGTAGTAGGCTTGACATCTGGAATGGAATGTGATTCCATTTACCAGCTTAATCTATATGATATTATAAATTTAATTTTTTATTTTTAAAAAAGATTAATTAGTCCTCAGAATGAAAAATATACATACACAATTCTACTTCTGGGAATTTAACCTAAATATATATTTATGAAAGTACATAAGAATGTACGTATAAAAATGTTCACTACAGCTTTGTATTTTATAATGGAAACTCTAGAAATTATAATAAATCATAAAAAAGATGAGAATAAACATGTTATCTTTAAAAAATACCATTCAATTATTATCATTCATACTACATACAGCACAAGATTTCTATCCTTTTCTTTTTCCTTAGTATTTCTTGGACATTTTTTCATATTAGAACAATTAGACCTACCTTATCACCATTTTATGTTGCTACTGATCCTTTCTTTAACTGCTAATAAAAATTTACAGACCCATAAAACAATTTTGACTTTTGATATTTTTTAAAAATCCATATACTTTATAAACTTTTCTCACAATCAATTTGCTCCTCTTCTTTCAAATGTTAAACTGTATCAGTAATTTTAAAATAATTTATAAATCCTTTATGAATACTTATGGTCAACTCTTTCAAAAGAGCACATCGACAAACACAATATCCCACAGTGCTCAGACCCACTAGAACTACATCAGCAAACATGGATGGGTCAATGAGCGTAAACTGTACATGCAATGAGAATAAACTGTACATGCAACCAAGAAACCACCTCTTTCCCCCCAAAACCTCACAGCATTCAGCTAAAGTACTCAAGGCAGCTACCAAGTATGCAGGAATTACAAAAAGGTACGCTAATTACCATGTCAACATGCATAATTCCCCTCAACCCTTTAAAATATTAGGACAACAGGAAATATCCAAGCAAATTAGAAGCCAGTGATTGAGATTTGAGTTCAACACCCTCATTAAACAACAGGAAACTAAAGCCCGCAGGAAGGATGGTACTCGAGTAAGCAAAGCCAAACTAGGAGCCTGAGCAAGGTCAGCCAAAGCTACTGCTATTCTCACTATTCCTCTTGTCTCTTGTTTCTACTTAAACCAAAAAGAAGCCAAGAGATAGCAGCACTGAAATCAGAAAGGCAATTCCATCCACCATATCAAAATAATCATTCTAGTCTTAAGCAAAGCAGTTGATCAGTTGTCCATGCAAGAAACCCTCTGTTTCATTTCGATAAGTAAGGACTTTTCCTGCCTTTCGGTTGCTATTAAATTTAGTTTCTATTCCCAAATAAAAATGCCCAGTAAAGAGAAAAAAAAAAAACAATTGTATGAGATGCAGTGGTAGAAATACAGGACTTGTTCTAGGGACAGTTGAAATTTCCCAGTTTAAATATACTATATAAAAAGAACTAAACTGGCTGCAATCCAGGAAATAAAACACAGTCCTGGACCAGGAAGATACCCTGTAAAGGTGTCACCAGATCACCTTTAAAATGAATAAAACAATGAAGTTGATTACAGAGAAAACATTAAAAAGCAGAAGCCATGGACCTTCCTGTTCACTAATATTAAATGGAGTGATGCTGTAAGTCATGTGAGCTTCCTTTAAGAGCTTCCTACATGCCAGGCATTATGTTAAGTGATTTAAATGGATGCTGCTTAAAGGTTACTTTCCAATGAGGAAGGTATTAATCATTTTATATATAAATAAACACATTTAAAGTTATTACATAACTTATCAAGTTAATATAGCTATTTATATCTGAGGACCACGGAAAAAATTTTAGAAACATTAAGTGTAACAACTAAATGGCTGTAAATATGTTCTTTCTCTTTTTATTACTAAACATGATGAATGAGTGTAAATCATCAGAAATGTAAAGGAATTCAAAAGATTTCAAAAAAAAATCACCAGAAAGTCAAAAGAATTTTGAAAAATATAAGCTGGAAGTTACGAAACCTGTAACACTGGAAACTGGAGATTTTGTACTGAGAGGAGTTGACACTGGAAAATAAAATAAGGAAGTTTGGGTCAAATACTTGGGAGTTATGGCTGTTATTTTCAAAAATTACTTAAAATTTTTGAAAAATATAAGCTGGAAGTTACGAAACCTGTAACACTGGAAACTGGAGATTTTGTACTGAGAGGAGTTGACACTGGAAAATAAAATAAGGAAGTTTGGGTCAAATGCTTGGGAGTTATGGCTGTTATTTTCAAAAATAACTTAAAAGTTTTGAAAAATATAAGGTGTTACTAAACCTGAATGATTCAAAATTGGATGTTTGGTACTAGAAGGAGTCAAAACTGAAAAATAAAATAATGTAAACAGAATCAACCAATTAGGAATTATTAATTTTTCATTTATATGAATTATGCCTTTCATTTTTGACTTCAGATAAAAATATCCATGCTTCAATTTTCTGGAAAATGATTGCTGTCTATTTTTTTTTTAAAAAAGCCTACAGCTCCTGGTCTTCCTCAGTGGTCTCCCATCCAAGTACTAACCAGGCCCTACCCTGCTTAGCTTCCGAGATCAGACGAGATCGGGCGTGTTCAGGGTGGCATGCCGTAGACTGTTGCTATAAACTTTTAAACCTAAAAGGCCTGAGAAAAAGTTATACACCTGTGTGTGTCCATCATGTGCTAATCCTATGAAAATACAGGAAATAACAAGACAATTCTTTGTGAATTTTACATTTCATAGAAATGAATACAAGACAGAGTTGAATACTAAAACTGCTTCTTTTCAATTACTGTGTATCATTTATATTTAATTTTAAGAAATAAAGTCCCCTCTCCCCCGCAAAAAAACCCAACAAGGAAAAAGACACCCTTTGTACCTTCAATACATTCTGGCATCTTAGGCTGCCATTCATTGTTAGCGCCACAGACAATTGTGCTGTTGCCTTTAAGGTGAAAACCCTGGACGCATTCAAATACAACCTGCGCGTTGTAGTAAAATTTTCTTGCAAATCCTGCTATCAGTCTTCCATTTTTGACTACTGGAAATTGACATTTGACCACTGAAAAGTAGAGAAATTCCAGAATTAATGGGAAGGTGCTTAAAAATAGGTCAGAAAAACTAGTGCAAAGTGTATTTCCACTGGGAACAAAGAGACAAGGAATAGATGGCAGGATATTACATTTTTTTTTTTAACATACTTTATTTGTGCGTTTTAATTCCAGTTAAACAGATTTAGAGAAATCTATTAGCCTTTTCCCACCTAGACCGACTGTCATTATAGTTTATTGGCTTTCCTACATTTTTCCCTTATCACTGACAAGTTTTGAGAAAGGTCTGACTACTAGATATAAATTTCTTTTAAGTTCAAACTCAACTTCTGACATACTCTTTAGCTCTAGAGATTTTTAAAATTTTCATGCTGACACTGAATACACAGCCCTGCTTTTGCAGAAAGGCAGTAAGACTCTTGGGAGAAGGTAATACTTGAGCTCAAATGTAAAAGCTGAAAAGGAGCTAGCCATGCAAAGATGTGCAAATAGAAAGTCCTCAGGTAGCAACAACAGGCATGAACTGGGATGTTCAAGGAATAGAAAGGTCGCAATGACATGGATGGACTTAGAGGTTATTATGCTGAGTGAAATAAGACAGAGAACGATAAATACCATATGATTTCACTTATATGCAGAATCTAAGGAACAAAAACTAATCAAAACTAATCAAAAACAGACTCACAAATATAGAGGACAATCTGGTGACAGCTGGGGGTGGAGGTGGGGTTGGGGGCTGGAAGAAAGGGGTGAAGGGTTAAAGAAGTACAAATCAGTAGCTGATAGATGGTCACAGGGCTGGGGAGCACAGCAGAGGGAATGTAGTTAGCATTAATGTAATGGCTGGGCGTAGAGCCAGAGTAAAGAGCAGAGGGATTTTTTATTTTTT